TGAGCTATCGATTATATTCCGTGCTTTACCTCAGATGTCGAGGTCTTCGTAGTCCAGTCGGCCACCAGATGAGAAAGGGGGGTGAGTAAGCAGCTTCGTCTGACTCCAGTCCTTACTGGAAATGCATCTGTCAGCTGTCCTCCATACACGACTTTGAACTGTATTCCGTCGTATGAGTTCCGGATAGTGTAGACAATCTTCTCAGGAACTCCATGTCGTCGAAGAAGTTTCCATAATGTTCTCCGGTCCACACTGTCAAACGCCTTCTCATAGTCAAGGAAGTTGATGCATAGCGACGAATTCCACTTAACGGATTGTTCCACGATGACCTGTAGTGTCGTAATTTAATCTGTGCACGACCAATCCTTACGGAATCCAGCCTGTTGACCTCGAAGTTGAGCGCCTACTGTGTCTTTCATGCAGTTGAGCAACAAGCTGTTGAAAACTTTTCCTGGTACTGACAAAAGTGTGATGCCTCTGTAATTCTCACATTTGCTCAGATCTCTTTTCTTTGGTATCTTAATGAGGTATCCTCCTTTCCAGTCTGCCTATGTCACTTGTTCTTCCTCCCGAATCTTCTCGAATAGAAGGTAGAGCACGTTTGCAGTTACCTCAATGTCTGACTTCAGTGCTTCAGCTGGTATATTGTCAGGTCCTTCCGCTTTCCCGCTCTTGATTTGTCTGATGGCCATTTTGATTTCTTCGACCGTTGGTGGAGTGACATCCATAGGAAGTTCTGTGTGTTTCCTTGACATCCAGTGGAATCAATGGAGCTGGTCTATTCAGCAGTTCCTCGAAGTATTCTGCCCATGTTTTCCTCTGTTCTTTAATCTCCGTGATTGTCTTTCCTTCTTTGTCCTTGAATTGTCTCTCTAATTTACTATATTTACCTGCTAGTTTCTTCGTTGTATCATATAGTTGTTTCATATTCCCTCCTCTTGAAGCTTTTTCTGCCGCAGATGCTAGTTCGCTCATGCATTTCTGCTTGTCAGCTTTAATGCTCTTCTTCATTTGCTTGTTTGCTTCTGCGTACTTCGTTTGCGCCTTGACTTTCTCTGTTCGTGTTCGACTGTTGTTAATTGCTGTCTTCTTGTTCTTCCTTTCTCCAATCTTGTCCAGAGTTCCCAGAGAGATCCATTCCTTATGATGATGCTTCTTGTGACCCAGAACCTCCTGACGCGTTTGGCCCTTTTCCAGTTGTCCTCCATCGTAGTTTCTTGTTCTTGCAGTAGATCCTGTAAAGCTTGGAACCTGTCGTTGAGAGTTATCTTGAATTCGTTGAGTCTGTTCGTATCTCGAAAGAGGGTTGTATTGAACATTTGTAATGATGTTCCCCCAGTTGTGCAGTGTTTCTTTAGCTTCAGTTTCATCTTGGCCACAACAGGCTAGTGGTGATCTGAAGCTATATCAGCTCCTCTCCTGGTTCTCACATCTTTCATTGTCCTTCAGAATTTTTTGTTGATACAAATATGATTGTTCTGGTTCTCTGTGGTGTGGTCCGGCGAGATCCATGTAGCTTTGTGTATGCGTTTGTGTGGAAATATTGTGTCGCCTATAACCAATTTGTTGAATGCACATAGTTTTGCAAATCTCTATCCATTTTGTTTTCTCTCTCCCAGTTTATGTCGTCCCATTATATCTTCATATCTTGTGTTTTCCAGTCCGACTTCAGTGTTTAGATCTCCCATCATGATGGTCAGGTCCTTTACTGAGCACTTAACTATCATTGATTACAGCCTCTCATTAAACTGATCTTTATCGTCGTTGTTGCTATCATTTGTGGGTGCATGACATTCATTGTGATCCCCTCCTTCTTTGTTTTGATGCTTTGATGATTCTGGATCCATGAGATTCCCATCCTATGAGTGCATTTAGTGATTCTCTGAACAGCATTATAGCAACTCCCTGAGTGTGTGGAGCATTTCCCTCTTCGTAATCAAAGTACAGCAGCATCCCTCCCGTATCTAACCTTTGCTATCCAGCATGTGTTCAATTGGTTGCGCTGATTCCAAGTACTGACAGTTTTTGTCTCCTCATTTCCACTGCTATTTGACTGGTCTTTCTGGTCTCCCACATTGTCCGGACATCCCATGTACCTATAAAAAGTGTTGCACTGGTTGTTAGATGGGGCATCGGCCTCGTGACTTCCAAAGAATCTCGGCTTTCATCACGAGGTGCCATAATTCTCCCTTCAACTCCGGGGACGGAGTTTAAATGGTTTGAGTTATTTTTTCTGTATAGCGTTTTTTTGGTGAGTTAGTTTTCTACGGGATGGGGTCGCTAACCCCATACTCAACCCTCCTCCTTTACCCGGTGTTGGGACCGGCAGTCATTCTAGAAGAGCTACATACCGAGTTCCACACAAAACTAGAAAGAAGTAATAATGTTACGTCATCTCAACTCAAGCAGCTGAATACAAATTGGTGGATCTCTTTACAGGAGAGGGATGTGATATGCTAGACGAACCCAAGCATATCACGTACATATGGCCACATATTAAAGATCAAATGGTGAGGGTGTTAAGGTATGCATATACTGGCTCGAAGCCATTTCTGGGATTTAAGTTTTGATGCAAACACTTGAAAGATGTATATATACATATATGTAACCTAACCAACCGAGTGCACGTAGATTCGCTTTGTCAATATAGACTCATGGTTGTTCTTAATATTTGCACTCATGTAGCAGGTTGTCCTAGAATATAAAAAAGTGTGCCTATCAGTATCAGACGAAAACATAACATAACAAGAATGACAAGTAAAGAGAGGCAAAATTCAATTTTTAGAAACACAAAGTTCTATGAATAAATTAAAACAGAGAAGATTGATTATCTTAACATAAAACATTACAGGTTAAATGAACGATTATCTAGTGAGATCTAATATTTTGTCTCAAAAAGATAGTCCTAGTGGTTTAACAGTAATTTTTTCTGTATAGCGTTTTTTTGGTGAGTTAGTTTTCTACGGGATGGGGTCGCTAACCCCATACTCAACCCTCCTCCTTTTTCCGGTTTTAATTTTTAATGATGCATTTGCGATCGATCTGATTTTCTGTGGTATGATCTGGTGAGATCCATATGGCTTTGTGTATGCGTTTGTGAAGGAATGTTGTGCACTTACATTTATTAATCTCTCACCACTTTTGTTCCCTTCTCCCAGACAATCCATGTCGTCCCATGATATCTTAGTATCTTGTGTTGTCCATTCTGACTTTGGCGTTTGGGTTTTCCATCAAGGTTGTCAGGTCCTTTCCTGAGTACTTCGCTATGTTGATTGCATTCTCTTTTAAAACTAATCTTTATTGTCGTAGCTGCTAACACTGTTTGGTGCATAACATTGGATAACATTCATTGTGATCCCCTCCTTCTTTGTTTCGAATGATGTTTTCATAATTCTAGATACGTGAAATTCCCATCCTATAAGTGTTCTTCATACTTATTCGGACAGAATTAGAACAACACTCTGATTGTGCGGAGCACTTCCCTCTTCGTGACGGGAGTGAAGATACCACTCTCTCGTACCTAACCATTGCTGTCCAGCTTGCGTCCGATGAGTTTCGCTGATTCCGAGAACCGTCAAGTTGTATCCCCTCATTTCCGTAACTATTTGATTGGTTCTCCCGGTCTCCCACATTGTCCGAACATTCCATGTGCCTATAATAATGGTTTCTGTGGATGTTAGGAGGGGCATCGGTCCTGTGACTTCCGCACAATCTTGGCTTTCATCATTAGGCGTCATAATTTTCTCTTGAACTCAGAGGACAGAGTTTAAATTGTTTATTCTGGTTAGAGTTTTTTAGGAAGGTTTTTTTACGGGCAGGAGTTGTTAACCCGATGCCCAACCCACCTTCCCTACCCGTGCTTGGAACCTGCTTTAACCTTATAAGAGATACAGGCGGAGTTGAGCGACTTACTAGCTTCGCCTGAATTATTATGCTGGTTAGACTGACAAGTCAATTATTAGGTACTATGTTTCTCTGACCTTGTTTAAATGTAGGATTAAATATGGCATATTTCCAACCAATAGAGAGCTGAGTGTGGGTTAGGGAAATGTAAAATAGCATCCTGGATGGGCCTGAAATGGTGTCCAAAAGGGATGACAGAGAACATGGATGTAACCTAAAGATGCCACAAGTATTCGGAGTTTGACAAATACCTTAACCAGTTACATCTCTTATGATCGAAATGTGTCAACCTAGTCAAGTCAAAAGTAAGAAGAGAAGAGTTTCGAAGATGTATCTGATAGGCTTTCGACATATCGAGAAGTGACTGATCTAAGCTGGCCAGCGGTTGCAGGAGATCTGAAGCACGGTGTGCTCACTTATGATCTGGTGCGGATGCGTGACAGAGCGCATTCAGCTAGGGTATTTCCAGTAAAACTAGTGCGGTTAGTGTCAAATGTTGAAGACGTACAGAGTTATTGATTTTTGGGATTTATTTACCCAGTGTCAAACAGGGTCTGAGGTTAATGGTCAATAAAAGAACAGCTTCCTCAGTCAAATGTACAGGTCCTATAGCGGTATAGTGGTATAGTTATGACAAGTACTGTTAACAATTTCCGTGGAGCGGACATCACTTAAATAGCTTGATAAGGTCTCCTCTTTGGTCAGATCTAATTCAGCTAGTATATCTGTATTGCCGTGCAACAGTAATGGAGGGATACCATACCTTCACTTTGTTCTCAGTTTTACATACGGAAACAATCATTTCGGGCAAGTATGGCTATCATACGCCAACCGTAATTCGTAAATGGTGCGTCATTTAGCAATGATCTGATTGCCGGAATGTTAGGGTTAGTTCGCCGGATATCCGGACGTGGTGGGGCAGATTCATACTATATGAGTCCGAAACATAAAGTACAGTACAACCTCATCACTATTTGCTGGTGGGCGAGGTTCTGAATGCCAATAACATTATTACAGTGATGTGTAAAGACAAGGTCCATCAATGACGGTTCATGTTACACACTGATTAGTTGAAAACCTTTTCTTCTTGTTTTCATGAACATGAGTTCATTACCCTAAGAAACGGTGTTCTGTTGCTAATAAGTCAGGGGACTCGTTGAACTAAATCCCTTTTATCTACTTTCACAATCATTTGAAATATTTGAGATTCCTCTTCTGTTTTAGTGGGTGCGGATGCGGCGCGCGTTGGTTGGGACTTACAATCGTATGAGGCTTGGTTTTGGCTTATTTGCACAATAGCACCCTGTATGAGTTCTTCGTTATTTATTTGCTGGTTTTGTCTCAAAATTTAGTGCTGAAGCTAGAGTTTTGTCCTAAAAGTAGTTACCTAACAGAGTGATCAAAATAACACTGACCAAAGTAGGACTTTTAAACAGGTAATTTGTCTTAATTATCATATAAATACAGAATAATTGGCATTTGAATTCATTATTTACCCAATCAATTAAATTTAAGCAGATGACCGAAACAGAAGAGGCGGTTATCCATCGGCGTAATATTGTGAAGGAAAACAGTAACCTACCGGGAACTACAGATAATGTTGATGATGAACCAGAATCTGAAGCCGAATCCAAGGAAGTAAGACTAACGTTAATGGAAGAAATATTGCTGTTGGGACTAAAAGATCGAGAAGTTGGTCTGTTTTAGTAATTTATAAAACGCCACAGGGATACTTATCATTTTGGAATGATAGTGTATGTTGTGGACTCCGAGGATGCATACTTGTTGAACTTGGTCTCAGAAATCGAATTGGACTTGAGCCGAGTGGGATGCGTCGTAGGAACCTGTCTTCTAGGTGTATTATTGTCAAAAAGAGCGTACCGACTGGTGACGCATTGTTAGATGAGGCTCTCAAACATATCAGAGATAACAAGCCTGAAAATACTAAGACGTGGATTGAATATCTCAGCGGTAGGTTTATATATACATATCCACAATTGCTTTTAGGTGAAACATGGAACCCATTTAAATTACCATTACAGCTCCGCAATGTCAGGGAAAGGATAGCAAAAAATCTCGTAGAAAAACGCATATGCACAATAGAAAAACAGAACTTTATCCTTTTTGATATGATGACACACCCCTTAGTAGACCTTGGAAGTAAAAAACGCGTAATTAGCCGTATTCAGGATGTTGTTCTTAATAAATGGAGCACAGATGTTCAAAAAGTTGATAAGCGACTACTCTCTCTCGTGCTCTTGTCTCACTATTCTGATGTCCTAGAAAGTGCTTTACAACATCTTCCAGACAATGTTTATGATCTTGCCAGAAAGCGTATTGATGATGCGCTCCAAATGGACTTCTTTGCAGAGGCCAATAAAGAAGGTTCTTGTGAAATGTTGTGGGCAGTCATGGCTGCTCTTAATTCATAAAAACCAAATTACCAAATGTCTTGGCTGTGATTATTTGTGTGAAGCTCCACCTCGCTATTTTCATGCAACCTTTAATTTACAATGACGTAGCTAACTTTTGTATTTTATACGAAACAATTGAGTTAATATCGAATCAGATCTTTCCACAATGTTTATTCACACTATGTGGTTTAATTTTCCATGGTTCACTTTGCAAACTTTTCTTTCACTGATTTGGTTCACCTTCCTAATTTAGGGAATTTGAAGACCTATTGATCTCTAATTTTTTTAGTCTTGGTACATATTTATACACCGCTAAGACTAAAAATTCTGTAAAGATGCGTCACTTTCTACTTAACACCATCTCCATAAATATTTTAAGAAAACTCAAGGTGGTGTCCATTTATGTACATCTCTGCCGATCTATCCAATAAAAATTTAAAATTAAGTTTTCATAGTAATGTTATATTCGTTTTGATGTCAGGACTGTCCACTTAGGTGATGTGAATCTAGTTTTTTTTGAAAGTAATTTAGCTGCGAAATCTGATATTCAGCCGTATATTGTATAGGGTATACAAGTAACATACAGACATGGCTCCAACTATATAAGTATAATAAACCAACCAGCTTATTTACGAACAAGTACCTAACTATGATCAGCATCATAAACGTATTATTACTTATTTAAACACAGTTATTGGTACATGGGCACACCTAATTCATATGCGCCACACAAAGCAGTCAGTGTGTGCAAAAGCCGAGATACTGCTTGCTTACCCAAACGAAAGTAGATGGTATTTTTAGGGAGCCACATCCCGAACCTTTGACCTAAAAGCATAATCCACAAGGCAGTGGATCAACGTTGGGCATGCGGTCCTATGGTAGCCGATAATTAACAATGGGTTCATCTTCCGTTTGTTCCCTCAGGATGCTGGAGTCCATGCACAACATTGGTTTGGAGTCAGGGTTTTACAACTCCCCTAAGTGGACCCTCCGTGTCCACCAACCCGGTTAAAGCGCCGGACATTCGCTTCTCGTCCTCCCAATTTCGTAAAAAACAGTAATGCCGCGAGAAGGCAGTGAGTAGGACTTCCCTGGTGGTGGCTGCATACGTGTGGCCATGTGAGAGCGTTTCGAGAGGGAAAGCAAATTCTCTCTACTCTCGGCCGTACCAGGGCATTTGAGGGTCATAAACAATTGTTAGAGTTGTGATCACTTGCTTACAAGTTGTTTTTATTTTGTCTTATAATTGTAGGTGAGTAACATCAATGAACTTGACCATACTAATGAGGTTGACTAACATCATCTAGTTTGTGTATTCGGCATATTAAAGTAAACGTTAATGTTATCACGAATGAGTGTGTGTTCGTCTCATAACTTTTTTAGACTATCAGGATGATTGTGTTCGTGAACACTGCCTGGTTTCTACATTATTATTTTCACCTCACGTTAGAGATAAAAGTATACAAGAAATTGTGATATGATTCTGGGAAGCTAGCTTTTCTTGGTTTTAATCATTAACAGTCACTGAGTTTTTTAAACTTACAATCAGGTAAGATTGGTGTCTGTTCTTCGTTTCCGGTAGAGGGAATTCTTGGTAAGTGATTTATGTGTCAGAATTGAAGGGGATAACTTCAAAAGAACAGACCAATGACAGTTTGAAAGTGGTGACAATAAGCTTACATAGTTCTTACCATTTGCTGTAGTCAGTTAGGGTACTACTTAAGTCCGGAATTCCAATTTCTGTGTTGCAGTTCCATAACCATTCGAATAAATTAACTAGCTAGTAAACAGGGTTACTCATCTGGTCACACTATGACCGGTTGTGGGACACTTTTTAGAACCACGGTTGTTTTAAGAACCTGTTTTGTGATTATAAGGAAAGAACATATGACGTGTACATGTTTTTATTTACAAACTTCATAATGAACCCGGCTGTTGGCAGATCAGCACTATCATTAGGTTCTGAAAATTTATGAATGGGATCGAGTGACTATCAGGCTTTTATAATATCCGATTACACGTCACTTATTAGAGATTTTTTCACGACTTTATCCAGGGTGTTTGTTGTTGATGTCATTTAACAGTGGGAAAGTCGTAGAGTTAGTCGTTCATCCATAATCGTCTCCAAATATCCACAATGGTCTTCAGATTGGTTAACGGCTAAAAAATGGAAGTAGAATGACACCAGTTCAGTAACTTGATTCCCCTTCTGATGTAGATCTCGTCAATATTACTAATTCAAGTAGTACAGCAAGTACTGGAAGTATATAGCACTTGGGGGACCTGCATTTGGAGTCTTCATTGTTAACCCAACTAAGAATCACATAATTTCCCTAACGAATCCCACTGGTAATATAAAAGAAACTAGTAATACCCTAACTATACATATTTCATATAAAACTCGTTGAACCAGAATTAAAACTTGTTCGAAAGGAATATCATTATGCACCCAGGGCCAATAGTAGGTCATTAAGTTGCTCGTCTGCGACTAACTTTGTTTTGTTAACATCTTAAACCGAAAGCTTTCGATAGTTTCTGTGTCGACCCACGCTAAATACTTCATGGGACTTATATATACTATTCAGGACGACTACTCATTTCAGACTGATAACAACACTGCTAGCAACTAAGGCGTTCAACTTCCTCCTAGTTGCCAACAGAGCAGTTGTTTACCAGTCATCTCTAGCAAACGTCTTGAAGAAACGGTAGGTTTCGACGCTAGTAGACTGAAAAATAATTAGTCAGTCTTGGATCTCAGTATGTTTTTCACTTGAGGTGGAGATTTGGTATATATTACAATCTCATCAGGATAATAAGAAATAAAATAGACCTATACATTTTTAAAGAGCACGATTTTAATAGTTTCGAGTTAACTGAGATCAGAGCGTGCATTTCTGTACGCGACGAGGTTTTACACCAGACCCCAGTAATAATATGTCGGGTTTATTTGTCGTTTCATTGAAATCTTGTTTTCAAATGTAGATTGACTTTTCATAGATTTTTGTCTGTTGTACATTCTAGTATTATCCGAATTCTCAAATGATGTCTCCGAACCTTAGTATACGGCTAGTCGTTATGCAGTACGTGGCTCATATTTCAAGTAATCGAACATCTGAATAAAGAATTCGAATTTACGTTTTTAGTGTCAGGGTAACTTTGATGTTTGTTGATGTATCTCTCCATTTCATTTATGGAGAAAGCGTATCTTATCTGCGTGATTTACTTATCGTTAAGTCAATAGAACAATTGGTCTTCGAATGATCGATCAGATTCGGGGGGGCTCCATTTGTTTTACTTGGAATATTTTCACAGTAGACTGAAGTACCGTACTTTCAACTAAGAAGTGGCTGATTAACACGCCAATACCACCCACTTCGATTTGCACACCCAGTTATTATCAGCACCCATGCTGTGTGCTGCTCGAAGTCGGGTGTATAAACTTGTACTTGGTAAATGATAGGTAATGTAGTAATCCCAACTTTCGAATGCTTAGAAATGTTTTACGACATTTTTATCATATGCGTATACAATCCAAGGAACAGTTCTCATCGAGTGGTAAGGAAGGTACAATTCTTTCATCATTTTTGGCATCTTTTCAACTAAAAAGTTCCTAGGGTCACCACTCAAAAGAAGTTAGACATCTGGCAGCTTTTGGTTACTTTATAAAATTAAAATATCTAATAAGTAGTTAAATTTCATATTATTTCTTAAAATATTTGATTTCCCTACTCGAACTGGGCGCGTAATCATATACAACCCAACCATCGCTATCTACAAATATCAAGTAAACTTTCTTTATAATAGACTATTATCGGGTAATCAATATCTGGTTGGATACAAATAAATAGATTAGCATAAGCTCCTCGAATCGATGTCTCACAACTCTATTAAATTCGGTTTGCCGAGAATTAGTCGAAAAAATCGAATTGAAGTGTAGTTTGGTCCATAAAACTATTTAGACAGCTGCAGCAGATTGATAAGGAAGTTTTTTGCACTTAAATAAATACCTTTTTTGACTAAGATTAAGATAAAATAACTGCCATCAAACCCTGAAAAATCTATGAACTCTGTAAAATAAGTATGCTGATTTAGGTTTTATTACTTTTCCAACGGCATCTTGTTGACTTGTATGGACTATTTATTTCTAAGCTATGAATTGATAAAAAATATAGTGGTCATTTCTAACGTTAATCGAAGTCAAAGATCCACGCCGGATGAAAACTAGGATACTTAGATTTCATGGGTAGTCATAAACGTGAACCATCAGATTCGGACTAAATGGTCTGGAGATTTTGTCTTTTGGAATAAATGTAGGGGTTATTGGGTTAGATTTTGATTGACGTGTTATATGACCAGTGCTAGGGTGTTTACAAACGAAGAAAAAAATTTCACATTATCCATTTGTGTTCAAATGTTCTTCAATGCATCACAAACTATTGTAAATTTAATAGTGTACTACCATCTTTTGAAGCATTTTACAGAGATAAATGAACTAAACCCATGGATCAATATGAATGGTCACATACTTATACGCATAAGTATAACGAGGGTAAATAGAACCTTACTAAAAAGTGTTGTGATATTTTGAGGTCAGTCACAAAATCAAAACAAGATACTCTAGTTAGCCAAAGAAATGATAATGGTAAATTATTAATATGAAATAAGTAATGATAAAACGAATTACAATATCCTTATAACAATATATTAAACATCCAGGTATTTATAATTAAGCGGTTAAATCCTGAGTACTTCGGTAATTAATGAAGATATATTATAATACCTTGGCTAACTTGAAATTAATTTTTGAACATCTGAGGTATATCAATAGTAAACAGTTACTGTACCGCTTACAACACTAATGAGATTCCCTAGCCACAAATCATTACTGAAGTGTTTGAATTTCATCACAAATCGGTGAATAATGATCAATACACCAATAAATTACTAACGTAGTTTGCAGCAAAACAGGACGCTGAATTTCGCATACTTCTGCTTGTTTTCATTATTATGTCAGTTTCTAGATTAGTTTTAATATTGCACAATCATCAAATGAATTGGCTACTAGGCAGCAGTCTTCACTGCCCAATTGATTGATGTCACGTATTACTGTTAAACCACTAGGACTATCTTTTTGAGACAAAATATTAGATCTCACTAGATAATCGTTCATTTAACCTGTAATGTTTTATGTTAAGATAATCAATCTTCTCTGTTTTAATTTATTCATAGAACTTTGTGTTTCTAAAAATTGAATTTTGCCTCTCTTTACTTGTCATTCTTGTTATGTTATGTTTTCGTCTGATACTGATAGGCACACTTTTTTATATTCTAGGACAACCTGCTACATGAGTGCAAATATTAAGAACAACCATGAGTCTATATTGACAAAGCGAATCTACGTGCACTCGGTTGGTTAGGTTACATATATGTATATATACATCTTTCAAGTGTTTGCATCAAAACTTAAATCCCAGAAATGGCTTCGAGCCAGTATATGCATACCTTAACACCCTCACCATTTGATCTTTAATATGTGGCCATATGTACGTGATATGCTTGGGTTCGTCTAGCATATCACATCCCTCTCCTGTAAAGAGATCCACCAATTTGTATTCAGCTGCTTGAGTTGAGATGACGTAACATTATTACTTCTTTCTAGTTTTGTGTGGAACTCGGTATGTAGCTCTTCTAGAATGACTGCCGGTCCCAACACCGGGTAAAGGAGGAGGGTTGAGTATGGGGTTAGCGACCCCATCCCGTAGAAAACTAACTCACCAAAAAAACGCTATACAGAAAAAATAACTCAAACCATTTAAACTCCGTCCCCGGAGTTGAAGGGAGAATTATGGCACCTCGTGATGAAAGCCGAGATTCTTTGGAAGTCACGAGGCCGATGCCCCATCTAACAACCAGTGCAACACTTTTTATAGGTACATGGGA